GTTGTTAGGCGATTGGATAAATGAATTAGAACAATGAAGGCAGGTTTTGTGGTCACTCTTTGATCTGAGCATTAGGAGGAAGGGAGCACCGATGAATCTTTAAAAACGTTCCCAGGAGGAGAGTTTGAGCAACAAAATGCAAGTGGGGCCAGAACCTCTGCGGCTGCAACTGTCACTCATGCAGACTCAGCTGAGTCAACCTGGCTCTCTTCCTACTGCTCACATCCTGTATTTAGCTCTGAGGAAAGCGTAGAGAGACCACTGCCCAGCAGGCGCCTCCATGCCCAAGATGTTATCTACTCTCACACAAACACCAACATGTACATATGCACAGCAGTGCACCCCTAACATGCAATAAACAGCATATGTTCCATTGCACACACAGTCAATATAGAGTTTTAAAAAAAGGAGTGGAGAGCTTCTTTTAAAGCTGGAATGGCCTGAGACGCACTCCTCCCTCAGAAAGACATTAGTGTCGCTGTCTAAAGTAAAGGGCTTACTAAATGGAGTTTAAGGTCAAACACAATAAATCAGATCAACCTAGTGGGAATATTTTAACACTTGGAACACTGCCTGGGTACAACGCTTCATATAAACATTTTTAATGGAGATCATTTAGAGAGAAGAATGTTTCATTTAACAGAGAAAAGAATGGCTTAAGACATGCTTTATACAGTATCACTCTTTGTGTTTAAAGATATCCTGTTATAGCTAAGCCTGAAAATAAATAGCATAATAATTAGTAATATGCTACAATGCTGCTGCTGCTGCTACACTTCCTTGTTTGTTTAATTTTCCCTTAATAGTCAGTCCTGGAAAACAACATTACATTTTGGCACAGTTGGTATGTGCAGATGATGAAATAGCCAGATTTAATAGGCTATACTGAAAAAGTCACTAAACATCATTGAGTCACAGACTGATCTGCAGGGTGACTCATATTTTTGAAGAGACACAAATACAGTACAAAACATAAAGTTAACGACATGACATTATGAGGCACGACAGTTTAAAAAGTATAGGAGAGAGCTCTGAGAAGATGAAAGCATGGAAACTAAACAAGCTGTGGACAACTTGTTCCAAGTTAACATTCACATACAGGATACCTACAGGTAAACCACCTGACTGCACTTTCTAATGACACCACCATGGACGTAAAGAGAGTGTACATGTAGCACACACAAATACACACAAAAGAGAAAATACCAGGCTGCCAATTTATGCAAACAGCAGCATGCAGTAACTGACAACAAGTGCTTGGTCTTGTTAATGAGCTTCACCAACTCAGACCTCCACACATGGTTTCCAACTAAATCACATCCTTTAGTTTCATTACAAAAGAAATCAATGATGCAAACTAACTTCTTCATAGGAACTATGACACTGAGCTCAGCTGACTGTGGATCTGGTGTGCCTGCAGTGTCCATAACACCATGACAATGGGCATGAGGCACACTGATGTTAGGCATCTATCCTATCACCAAGAAAATCCATCAGCTTGCCTGTTTTTTTATGAATTAAACAAATGATTTTTTTTTGTTGCCACATAATAGAAACAGGTAATACCCTGGGTGCTCTGTGCTCTGGAACAAACCCTTGCTTTACCATCTGCTACAATAGATAAAAAAACTTTACATGTGCAAAAGATTTAATACAATAGAGACAAGAAAAGCAATAATGTTGTAACCTTCCATTTGACGCCAGGTTCTGACTGCTAAGAATCATTTTCAGTTCTGCATATTACTGACTGTCATTGCAGAACAAGCACAAAGGAAGTCATTCCCCAAGCCTTCTCCATTTTCCCTCTCTTCTCCTATCTTGTTCTGTGGATTCCGCTCCATAAACGTTACCATCTTGGGTTTCAACCGGAGACTGTTTTTAGAAAATGAGTGAGTCCAATCAACAGCGGATCCTGTTGGTTTTATTCTATTTCTGTTATGTCTCAGTCACCATCTTGAAACGAGCACCTTTCCATCTTAGTGTCAG